AGAGGGACCATGTTTAGTATTTGGTATACAAATACAAGCAATGTATTTTTAAATTATTTGAATAGTGTTCATTATACATAATGTTTGAAGGCTTATAAACATTCAAATTGTAATTATATTTAAATGTTATTTGAACTACTGTGACAGTTTAAAATACCATATTACCTTTTAGGAAACCAGAAATCAACAAGGTGAGATACTTTGTCTTTTTCTATATTTACATTGTATAGCTACTATTATTTGTCTTTGGACATTGATTAACATTAATTAATGACACTTCACAGTAATTCAAAATGCATTCATTATGCTTTAATGGAATATTCATTGCACCTGCATAATGCATTCATAAGCAGCATGTAAATATACCTTAAGTTTTAAAGCATTTCATTCATAATACTTTTGAATGACCAAGACATCACAACTGTACCCAGGGGTGTAACACCAAAATTTGGGTTCAGGGCACAGTAGTGTAACCCCCCCCAGTTGCAATTTGATTGTCATTTAATAGCCAAATCTTTGTATTCGTTAACAGACAACTGCCAGATCATGGTAAGTGCAAACTTTTGCACTTTAAAGGTAAAATCAACGATAATTTACACTAACAACAAATACTACTGTATACCATCCGCTTCAGATGTCTGCGTATGTCTGCGTATGTCTGCGTATGTGTGCACATGTCTGCACATGTCTGCGTATGTGTGCACATGTCTGCACATGTCTGCGTATGTGTGCACATGTCTGCGTATGTCTGCACATATCTGCGTATGTGTGCACATGTCTGCACATGTCTGCGTATGTCTGCACATGTCTACGTATGTCTGCACATGTCTGCGTATGTCTGCACATGTCTGCGCATGTCTGCACATGTCTGCGTATGTCTGCATGTCAGCTCTGCCTCCTGTCTTTTCATCAGTGCCACCATCTCCAACACAGATAACATAACTGGTCTCACTATTATCTTGTTACCTTCCCTTTCACTCTTGTTGATACCCATCTGTCACAAATCACTCCTGCCACCCTTCTCCATCCACTCCACCCTGCCTGCACTCTCTTCACCTCTCCTCCACACTCCCCATTACTCTGAACTGTTGACCACAAGTATTTAAATTCCTCCACCTTCACCAACTCTGCTCCCTGCATCTTCACCCTTCTGCTGTCCTCCCTCTCATTCATGCACATGTATTCTACTGTATCTTAGTCATACTGACCTTCATTCCAATCCTCTCCAGATCATATCTCCACCTCTCCAGGGTCTCCTCCACCTACTCCCTATTCTCACTTCAGTTCACAATATCATCTGCAAACATCATAGTCCACGGAGACTCCTGTCTGATCTCACCTGTTAAGTTGCCCATCACCATAGCAAACAAGAAAGTGCTCAGAGCCGACCCTTGATGTAATCTCACCTATTACTGTGAACGCATCAGTCACTCCTACCGCAGACCTCACCGCTGTCATTCTGCCCCATTACATATCCTGTACCACTCTTATATACTTTTCTGCCACTTCTGACTTCCTCATTCAATACCACAACCCCTCTCTAGATACCCTGTCATATTCTTTCTCTAGGTCCACAAAAACACAATGCAGCTCCTTCTGACCTTCTCTATACTTCTCCACCAACACCCTCAGAGCTAACACTGCATCTTCAGTGCTCTTTCCTGACATGAAACCATACTGCTGCTCGCTGATCATCACCTCTCCTTATCCTACTGTAGCTTCCACTACTCTTTCCCATAACTTCATGCTGTGGCTGATCATCTTCACCCTTCTGTAGTTACTACAGCTCTGCACATCACCCTTATTCTTGAAAATAAGCACCAGTATGCTTCTTTTACACTCAGGCATTTTCTCTTACTGTCCAAGATTGTGTTAAACAAAAACCCCACTGCCATCTCACCTAAACACCTCCATGCTTCCACAGGTATATCATCTGGACCAACAGCCTTTCCATTCTTCATCCTTACTTCTTCCTTGCTAACCCACTGTACTTTGTTCTCCACCTCATCCAACCTTCACTTTCTCTCATTCTTTTCATTCATCAACTCCTAAAAGTACTCCTTCCATCTGCTCAACACAAACTCCTCACTTGGGAGTATGTTTCCATTATCCTTTATCACCCTACCCTCCTGCACATCTTTCCCAGCTCAGTCAATCTGCCTAGCCAATCAGTACAGTTCCTTTTCTCCCTCCTTAGTGTCCACCCTCTCATACAACTCGCCATACACCTTATATGTAGCCTTCGCCACCTCACTCTTCACCATACGCCTCATCTCCTTGTACTCCTGTCTACTTCATCTCTTTGGTTATCCCACTTCTTCTTTGCTAACCTCTTCTTCTGTATACTCTCCTCAACTTCCTTATTCCACCACCAGATTTCCTTGTCCTCCTTCCTCTGACCAGATGTTACACCAAGCACCTTTCTAGCTGTCTCCCTTACCATTTCTGCAGTAGCTGCCCAGCTATCTGTTACAGTAACTCTTCACTGTTACCCAGTGCCAATCTTAACTCCTCTCTGAACCCCACCCTACAGTTCTCCATCTTCAATCCCCACTATTTGATCCTTGGCTCTGCCCTTACTCTCTTCTTCTTCTTGATCTCCAAAGTCATCCTACATGCCACCATTCTATGTTGCCAGCTACACTCTCCCCTAATACTACTTTGCAGTCTCCAATCTCCTTCAGACTGACCCTCCTGCATAGGATGTAATCCATCTGTGTGCATCATCATCCACTCTTATAGTGGATATAAAACATGCACACACCCTTGTAAAGATGACAGATTTTTCTGATGTACAAAAACAATGACACCAAGATAAAGGTGGAAAAACTTTTGAAATGATTTAATGTGACATATCACCTGTGTCATTCAATTAAAAAACAAACAAATCTGTTAGGGGGAAAATAATAAAATAAAAGTAAAACATACAATAAGCTGGTTGCATAAGTATGCACACCTTTAAATGAATATTTTGTTGAAACACCTTTTGATTTAATTACAGCATTCTGTCTTTTTGGGAAGGAGTCTATCAGCATGCCACGTCTTGACTTGGCAATATTTGCCCACTCTTCCTTGCAAAAGCGCTCCAAATCTGTCAGATTTTGAGGGCATCTCTTTTGCATCTCTTCAGGTCACCCCGCAGATTTTCAGTTGGATTTAGGTCTGGGCTTTGGCTGGGCCATTCCAAAGCTTTAATTTTCTTCTGGTGAAGCCATTCTTTTGTTGATTTAGATGTATGCTTGGGGTCATTGTCGTGCTGAAACGTAAAATTTCTCTTGATCTTCAGCATTCTAGCAGATACCTGAAGGTTTTGTGCCAAAATTGGACTGTTCATAATTCTCTCCACCTTGACTAAAACCCCAGTTCCGGCTGAAGAAAAACATCCGCAAGCATGATGCTGCCCCCACCATGCTTCACCATGGGTATGGTGCTCTTTTGGTGATGCACAGTGTTGTTTTTGCACCAAACATACCTTTTGGAATTGTGACCAAAAAGTTCACCCTTGGTCATCAGACCATAACACATTTTCCCACATGCTTTTGGGAGAATTGATGTATTTTTTTTTCAAAATTTATCTTTGTAAGAAATGGCTTCTGTCTTGCAACCCTACCCTACAGTCCAGTCATATGAAGAATATAGGAAATTGTTGTCACATGTAGTACTGTACACAACCAGTACTTGCCAGAAATTCCTGCAGCTCCTTCAGTGTTGCTGTAGGCGTCTTGACAGCCTTCCTGACCAGTGTTCGTCATGTCTTTTCATCAATTTTGGAGGGATGTCCAGTTCTCGGTAATGCGACTGTTGTTCCATATTTTCTCCACCTATTGATGACTGTCTTCACTGTGTTCCAAGGTATATCTAATGCCATGGAATTTTTTGTAGCCTTCTCCTGACTGATAACTTTCAACAGCGAGATCCCTTTGATGCTTTGTAAGTTCTCTGCCAACCATAACTTTTGCTGTAGTGTAGTGAACGACTCTGGGTGTGATCACTCCCTGCATGCTAATAAGGAACACCTGTGACTGGGATTGGGGGGGAGTTATAAAGAGGACGCATACTTGGGGATGTGGAGGAGACTGCCGGTGGTAATGTAAAGATTTTGTTGGTGAGACTTTGGGCTGGGGCGGCTGGCAGCATTTTTGGGGAAGAAAACGCGGTGTGTCCGTCGCTGGTATTAGACCGGCCACGGACAAAGATAGTTAGTTATGGGGGTGGTAAATGTTTAGAGCAGGATAGGAACTGTGTTTGTTTTAAAGGTTGACAGTGAGCAGAGGAGGACTGATAAGCCCCGTCGGCTGAGGAACTTTAATTCCCCCTTCCCTGGAGAACACGGGGAAGCTGGGTGTGCTTCTCTTCAGGGAAGTAACCGCTTTTAATGCTGTATTTTTGGGATGAATGTGAGTGTGTGTGGATGTATGTAAATCCCTCTTGAATCTTGAATGTTTGGTTTTTATCTGTGGATTATGGCTATGAGCAGGAGGGCAGGGTTAGAAGGGAGAGCCTGGGAATGTTCCCGTGTGCTGCGTGTAGAGGAATTAATGCACTAGCGTTGTGATTTTAAGCTTGCTGTGGTTTATATCATCTGGATCTAAAAACACAAGGGTATTGTGACTGTAAGCTTGCTGTGCGTTACACCTTGATCCGGAGTGGAGTGGGTATTGCATTTGCAACATTCCTGGTGAGGTGTGTTTTAGCCCTCAGGAAGGGCTGTAATCTGGAGTATTTGTAATAAGACTTTTCTCCTATCTTTGTGTCCTTATTTGACTGGACCTCCCCAGCGTTACTGAAATAAAAAAGGTGGTGGCAGCAAATATTGACAAGGCTGTCTTAGTGAACGCACTTGTTACAGTAGGATGCAGCTGAGTAAATGTCAGGAAAATCCTACTAGGACAGCTGAACTTTATTTGGGGTTAATCAGAGTCACTTTAATGGATGGCAGGTGTTTTCCCAAAAAAACTGAATTCAGTAGTTAAATCAAAAGGTGCTTCAACAAAGTATTATTTTAAGGGGGTGAACACTTATGCAACCAGCGTATGGTACTTTTTTTGTTTGTTTATATTTTACCCCCTAGCATTTGTTTGTTTTTCAATTTAATTGTACAGGTTATAGGTCACATTGAAGATGGGAAAAGGTTTGAAATGATTTACTGTGGAGTGTACACTTTTTATGTCCACTGTATGACCATCTGACCTTCTGCATTCCTCTCCTTGACACCATACCTCCCCATCACCTCCTCAACACCCCTGTTACCTTCACCAACATGCCCAGTGAAATCCACTCCAATCACCACTCTCTCTCCCTTGGGTACACTCTCCATCACTTCATCCAACTCACTCTAGAATTCTTCCTTCTCACCCATCTCACACCCAACTGGGGCATATGCACTAACATCCATCATCACCCCTTCAATTTCCACCTTCATACTCATCACTCTGTCTGACACACTTTTCACCTCCAAAACACTCTTGACATGCTCTTCCTTCAGGATAAGCCCTACCCCAATTCTCCTCCCAAGCAGTGTTAACTAATAGACAATAACTTTCTAAATGACTTCTTATCCTCATCGACATTTTTTTTTTCCAGATGCCAGTGTGAGAATGGCAAAGCCAAGCAGTGACACGGTAATACTACGAAAATGTCCTCAACATGTAAAGAGACTCAGATATAAGTTAATTTAATTTATGGCTGAATAGTTCCTTTGCCTGTGGAGGAGAGTGAGGACTAAAGGGAATCCGCATGTTTGACTTCTAGATCTGTGAATGTGCCAGTTACTTGCTAACAGTTTTGTGCAACTTACTGAAAAATAGTAATTAGTTACAGTTACTAGCTACTTCATTTAAAAATAATTAAATTACTTTGCCCATTGCTACATATAAAAGAAAATAGTTACTCGGGAAAGTAACTTTTGCATTACTTCAGTTCTATCATTAATACATATGACCCATTCACTGCGCCACTGTAAAGTCAGATGACTTTACAGGAAATTTGGGGAATAGGCTGCATTTGTCCATTAAGTTTAAGTTTAATATTTTCACACAAGACAAAAGTAATGAGTAACAAGCCCATTTAAATTTCCCTACTTTTAAGTGGGTCATTTTAATTGGAAAAGTTGGTTAAATTACTTGTTACTGCCAAAAGTAGTAGAATTATAGTAATGTGTTACTTTGTAATATGTTACCACCATTGCTCGCTAATAATATTCTCATGTACTGGTGTCTAGCAGCCCTGTCTGTCATTGTCACGCTCTGTGCCAGGCTCTGATTTTTCAGCTTCTGCTTCTACATCTTTTCCTACAGCAGTCCTGCAATAATGTCATCTATTCATTGATCAGCGATGCCCCTACTGGTGAGTCAGGTCGTGTAAATTTAATGTGACCTCTGGGAGAGTATGCTATAATAAAGTGAGTGCATAATGTAGAAAAACGTAAACTGTACTTCTTCTTCAAGAATATGACTCCAAGACCCGTTAGGGGAAGCAACCTTAGTCGTAGTTGGTGCTGGAGTTAAACTATGACTGTGGTGCTTGTAGATACAGAGGTGTAATAGGTCTGTACTGCTTATGTCGTTTGACAGATCCAGTGACACAAGAGGAGAACAAGGTGCCTTCTCTGATCGACACAGTTAGTACATCTACATTTTATTCATGTAGCAGATGGTTTTTTATCCAAAGTGACGTAAACCTCAGAATGCAGTGTCAACCAGTGCCTGGAGCAATTGGGATTAAGGGTCTTGCTCAAAGGCCCAATGGTAAAATCACTCTGCAAATCAGGGGTTTTTTAATCAGCATCCTTCCAAATACAGATACATCATCGTAACTCACAGGAGAACACACATGGGATGCACAGTATTGAAAAAAATCCACATCACAAAATTTGAGATTTTTTTTATATTGCAATAATCATAAAACAAAAACAAAAAAAATTGAAATTACCCTAAACTATAGTCAATGTGGTGCCGACAAGTAGCTCTATGCAATGTTTCTATGGAATTTTCATATGAAAGTCGAGTGTATTTTGGTCACCAAATTTTATTCACTTTTTCCCTCCTTACTCACTATTGTTTAATTTCTGTTATAAATGATCATGACTCTCTCGGCCAGCACAGGCAGTGCTCATGCAAAAGTCAAGGCGGTACACTTTGATTTCTTTTTAACATATGGGTGAGAGACAAATAAGGGTTTGGTGAGATGAGTAATTCAGACATCTTTTAAAAACTTGTTTCAAAAGCATGTATCAGATTTGTTAAAATGTTTACACTTCATATTAAAATGCATCTTGGGCAAATGAATGGCAAATGAATACAGGTGTAAACGGCCACCAAGGCACATTGTGATATGGTCACTTAAACCAATTGCCAAGGTGGTCTGTGATGCATTTGACCACATATCTTTTGTAGTGTAAACGCTAATGAATCCTGATGCAATCCCAGACAAAGATGTCATAAGAAAAATATCATCAGTGCAGGATGTGGTGGTTGTTTTGGTGACACCACGCCAACACTCGAAAAAAATGGAGAGGAGCACTGATGTACGTGGTTGGAGTGCAAGTGAAAACAGATACCTAATTTATATTCGGACAGAAGATTCAGTCCGTAGAATACTAGATGGTGCTTGTCTGGTGACTTATGTAATATCTGTGTGTGGGGCCAATAGACCTTCTAGCAGAGGACGTATCCAGTAATGAAATCTGAACACAGGTGGTCAGCTGGACACCTTGGAGATGCATGATAGATACAGGTGTATATGGTGATGTGTCTTGGCTGTCCACTTATGATCCAATTGCCCAAGATGCATTTTAAAACCAATCATAAACAGGGTCTTTCTGTCTGTCTGTCCGTCCGTCCGTCTGTGTGTGTGTATAGGTTAGATTATGCTTGCTAGGATGTTTAATTGAGAATTTCACCTTTTTTAAAGCATGCTTAATTATTTGCTACAAAAATTTTACGGTTACACCACATTGACATTATTGCCATCATTCCTCAAATATTTTCTCAAAATTGATTAAAAACAGAAATTATAGA